GTCTGATGTAACAGGTAGGTCTGATATAACCGGTAGGTCTGATGTAACAGGAAGGTCTGATATAACCGGTAGGTCTGATATAACCGGTAGGTCTGATATAACCGGTAGGTCTGATGTAACAGGTAGGTCTGATATAACCGGTAGGTCTGATATAACAGGTAGATCTGATATAACCGGTAGGTCTGATGTAACAGGTAGGTCTGATATAACCGGTAGGTCTGATGTAACCGGTAGGTCTGATGTAACCGTTAGGTTTAATGATACCGGTAGGTCTGATGATACCGGTAGGTCTAATGATACCGGTTCGTCTAATGTTACCGGTATGTATGATGTAACCGGTAGGTCTTATGTAACCGTTAGGTTTAATGATACCGGTAGGTCTGATGATACCGGTAGGTCTAATGATACCGGTTCGTCTAATGTTACCGGTATGTATGATGTAACCGGTAGGTTTAATGACAGCGGTAGGTCTAATGTAACCTTTAGGTCTGATGTAACCTTTAGGTCTGATGTAACCGGTAGGTCTGATGTAACCGGTAGGTCTGATGAAACCGATGGATGTGATTTAATTGGTAGATGTGATTTAAGAACAACAATGTGTCTTACTTCAAGCTCAGACCACGGTAAAGTTTGAAGAAAATGAAGATTTATAAGGATTTATACTTGAAAAATAGTGCATGGAAAATAAGACCAGGTGTTCCTGAAGGGTAAGGCTACGTTAAGGTGGATGCGTATGTGGTATAACTATAAATGTCTAGATTTCGTGTATGTTGTTCAATTTGTCTTGATGTTGTTGTAATAGGTTGGATATTTCTATAGATCAAATTAATTAGTATAGATGTCTGCGTTAAACTTTAAATTCGGTGTTTTTGTTATTGTTTTACGTGTAACACGGGGATCTCACTGTGTACCAATGTCGCCAGTAGTTCGTGACAGATCTTAAAAAGCAATATATTATACCTTTTTACTTATAAAAAATGATCATTTTCTCCTGTACAATTATATGGGGAAACACATCTCACACTGTATGACTCTTTAATTATAAGGATGACATATAAAAAACGAATGAAGTCTGAGTTCAGTTTGAAGATTCATTATAACTAGTCAGACGGCGTGTTATCTAGTACACTGTAAAGTACTGACTATAACAACTTTCTCTAGTAGCATTGCTACTAACCCTTCTCCGTGTCACTTCAGTGAGTTACTCAGCACAGATAGTTCTCTTTATACAATATGAAAGAATGTTAATAAGGCCAGGCGTTGTAGGAATAAGCAATATATATAGAATCTAACCAACACTTAGAAAGTGATAAATGAACTTTTTTGGTTTGTCTCGTTTTATCGCCCAATGAAAAGTCGTAAGCCGTGGTGATTTTCAGGGAAGAGGACTTTCTGTGGTAGTCGGTTTTTATATCTCCGAACAACGTTCGGAAGGTCCGTCGCATGCTATTCGAATCAACTTTAATAAAGTTTTCTGTCCATAGACACATCAATGACAGTAAATGACGATTCTTGACCGCATCTCCCTGAGAAATACTAATTGTCTCTGGTAGGGATCGATATGTATTAGGTGTATACGGGGACCAATGTACATGGCCGGCAGGATCCCAAGTATAAATACAAAAACATAACAAAAACAACAAACACAATGACAGACGATTTTTTTTTTTTATTGAATAATGTTATTCAAATGGTGTATTCTTAAGATTTCAAATTTCACAGGGTTTCTTGAGCTACAGGCTGATAAAAACTATAATGGAGAAGTATGGTCGTCATCATTATCTCCTTGTCAATGTCCTTGTGATGTAAGAAAATTAGGTATGTCCGAGATTCGTTAGTATTCCTGGTGGTGCAGTTACGACAGAACCTGAAATTCAATGGAGAATTTGACATCACTTTATTTACCAATATTTATATGACGGGTATTGACGATAAAAGGATTATCCCCGCTTATCCTTCTGAAACACCTGGTCTTTTTCTGCTTGCACGTTTTTCAGGAATCCAAGTGCATCTTTTCATATTTTCTCATCGATTAAAAGTGATTGGCATTTCTTTTATTTTTCCAACAGAAAATCTGTTTCCATTCTAGATAGAGTTTAAATGGTTATCCTTCTCCGAAATGTTATCATTTTCATAGAACGTCTTAATGGAAAGCTCTGTCTCATTTGTTTCTACACAGATTCTTACAACTAAATATGAATTTAGGTGATGTGTATAAATAAGTGTTTAGACCATAATCATTCATCAACATTTTTTTCTACAAAAAAACCCTGAAAACTCATTTCCACACAACACTTTTAAAAAAGATAAGTATAATTATTTCATGAAATAAGAAACATGTCATGTCTGTCTAATAGTTAATATGTTTCGGCTGTGATGTGATTTATAAAGTAAAAAGTTATATGGAATGAGTCACGAATAGATTGCTATATTAGTGAACATAAGATATTACGTCAGATTTGGGTTTTTCTCTGTGTTGCCAGTGACAAAGCATTATCTTAGCTGAAACAAACAACGTACATAAGTGTTTCTTTCCAGGATTTTATTAACGTGTTAAATACATGTTTATAGTTTCTCTGTCTTTTCACCCTCGTTAGATAAGTTCTTTATTTGTCTTTTATTTCAAAAATCAGAAAAAACACAATTACAGTAAACTCACTCATTTTCATGGTGTTTTATTTTCGTGGATACCGTAACCACGAAAATAAAACACCATGAAAATGAGTGAGTTTACTTCATTTGTTTTTTTCTGAAACTTTTTTCCGCGAAATTTTTGCTCTACGAAAATATTTGATTTTACTGAAATTTCCTAGGACATTTATCGTTTTATAAACCATTCTTCTATGTATGTTGTTAATGCCGTGAGTAGCGCGTGATCTATTTGTTGTTGTTGTTTTTATTGTTGTTGTTGTTGGTGGTGGTGGTGTTTTAGCTTTGAGGAACCGTTTATCAATCTACACCAGGGTTTGTGACTGTCTATCCAGATTCCAGAACAGGATTGCTGTTAATTAACCAACGGTACTTTAATTCCGGATGGATATCAATAGCTAAATGGTCAATGCTGGATATCAAATTAAGTAAAACAAAAAGAAATGCAAGCAAAATAGTTACACAGTACTCCAATACCACTCTGTGGTCTATATATATACACATTCTGTACCTCCAGAAATACATGTACAAGTATCTATGAATACGTGTATCGAGATAATACAACATCCCCACATCCCCAACTTATGGTGTTTTTATATGTCACAGTTAAATCGAATTTTAATGGTCTGTTTCCAATATCACGAGTTTCGTGCAAGAACTTCGACAACTGACAGAAAAACTCGTAACACAGGGGGTCAAAAGATGCAGGTTGATGAAAATTATGAAGAAGTGTTACGGTCGTCATGGTGATTGTTGAGAAATATTCTATTTCTTTGTGCGGTGTGATTTTTTACATGTTTGCTGCTCGTTAGTTTGCCTGTTGGTTCCGTTGTTCTCATTTGAGAACGTGACATTACTTACATAGATTGACCAAGATTTACATGGCGAGTGTCGTTGATGAAGCAGAAGACGCTTACTCTTCCGGAACATTTAGTCTTATTTTCCTTGTTCCATTTCAGGAGTCTCCTTGTAAATCTTTCTTTTATCATATTTTCTCATATTTTGCCCTAGTTTTGTTGAATTAGAGGTTGTATACGATTATATTGACAGATTGGTACTTTCTAGTTTTTTGCTACATCCCTTTCATAACCAGTCGTCTTTTCATTTCAGCCGTAATTTTACAATAAAACCAAGACACGTTCTGTGTTCACTATGCACATCGAGTTTTTCCTATTTTGGTCAATTTACCACCAGATATATTCCTAAACAAACAAATATGGCGATTTTTTTTTGCCAGATTCCGCTACTGCACGATCATGTTTCGCTAGATCAGGTTGTAGTTGTGATGTTATTTAACTCGTCTGGCACCTGCAGATTTCGACATTATATTCAAATGAGGGTATCTCAGCGATTACATCTTCATGTGTGCTATACAGCACAACAATTATACGGGACGAATTGTAAAACATCTTCACAGGTGATAATGACCTGAATACCTAATGAGCACAGGGGTGGATATTGGAGGAGCACAACAAACACATGGTCTGGTGCCCAATAGTTTACGGTTGATTACCGAATTGTCCGTATGAATCAAATTTGGGATAATTTTTTTTAATAAACCTTTCGATATATATACATTCGATGTATATATATTTGATTGATATATATTTGTAACGTATGACATCAACATTTTCCCCTGAACATGACTGGGTGTGTTTTGGCGTGATTGTGGTTTTGCAATGTGTGATTGTGTGAATACTGTTGGTTGTGATGTCATAGTAAAGCGTTTGTTCTATTATGTTACCAACACCCCGATGTCCAATCCCACCCGAAGTCCGTTTCTGACAGTACCCGTTACCTTATATGGTACCCTAAACAACTCTATGGCTAATCTATTTTTAAAGTTAAACTACGAAAGTATCATCGAATTACGCACTGTAAAGAATTTCAGTATATTCTAAAGATGCTCTGTGTATCTGAGAACACGAGTGAAATACACCCGTACCCGAGATGACACAAGAGGCCAGCGAAGGGATTGACAAATAATGACGTTTTCAGTTATACTCTTTTATTACATGTTAGACTCTCCTATGTCCGGTTTGTTGGATTAGGTCGATAAGTTCATAATTGATAAATAAAAAAAAGTATGACACATCTTTTATTTTGATTGAAACTTATGAATTGTGAACAAAAACACCCCTTGAGCCTCGTTTCACAGATTAGATCTGGTAGAGTAGTTCACAATGAGTCTCGGATTAGCCAGCCTTAACACAGGTGAAAACGGAAGGCAGTGACTACCTGAATGTTATCTAGTGGGCCTTAATGAGTATCGTCTGCTCTCAACACCTGTGTGCTCTTCTCTGTTTACCAGGACATATCCGATAAATTGTGTTGATTTCTTAATTGGAAAAATGAAGGTTTATTGGAAAGTTATCTCGGACATAATCATATACTTAGGAGGTAAGTATTTTGAATATATATATATATATATAGTACATGTCCTATTTTAGATATCATAGAATCTAGAATCATAGATATGTAACGTGGTTTATACAGAGTATAAATTATCATCATAACATGACAATACCTAATTATGATGAGCTTAATTATGTACAGTACTCACAATATTGATTATTTGAGTACATGTACACGTTTGATATACTCGGAAACTCTTTGTATTATCCCATTCGAGACTTCATTTTAACAGAAGAGTTCACCTGACCTTACCTGAAAACGTGTCTGCCGGCAAAACTTGTTATTTTTCATATTTCCATACATGGTACAATTATTATGAGATATGATAATAATACATCTTTACAAAGCCGGATGATTTTGAGTGTGTTAAACTGGACGTGGGGACACTAGCACTAGCATTCCTGACCGGACCTTAGGTTACTAACATCTATTATTAATTATAATTACAAAGATGACTAGACTTCAATACATTACACAATAGAGACAATTACGGACCTTGGAATGTTGGGAATGTTTTATTACACATAAGTAATAGTGTCCTTAATTAATTACACATACGATATTTTAATATCATATCTAAATGAATTCAAGTTTCTAAATTTGTTATTAACTTATTGTGTGTGTATTTATAAAGTATCGGTATTAGAAATTTGTTTATTTTATACGAATGTCAATATATTTTTGTATTTATATGTATATTCAGTGTCAATATATTTGTGTGTATGTTTTGAATCATTGTAATTTGTTGGGCTTCGTTAACGATATATTTGTGTGTCGATTTGTATATTTTTGAACAGATGTGTATTTTCATCAAATTATATAAATATATATGTGTGTGTGTGTGTGGGGGGGGGGGGTTGTGTGTATGTGCGTGTGTGGGGGTGCTGTGTGTATTGTGTGTGGCTGTGTAGGTGTTGTGTGTGGAGGGGGGGGGGGGGGGGTCAGGGGTGGGTGCGTGGTGGGGTGCGGTAATGTTGTGTGTGGGTGGATGTAGTAGTGTTGTGTATGGTTGGGTGTTGGAGTGTTGTGTGTGGGTGGATATGGTAGTGTTGTGGGTGGGTGGGTGTGGTAGTGTTGTGTGGGTGGGTGTGGTGGTGTTGTGTATGGGTGGTTGTGGTAGTGTTGTGTGTGGGTGGGTGTGGTAGTGATGTGTGTGGGTGAGTGTGGTGGTGTTGTGTATGGGTGAGTGTGGTGGTGTTGTGGGTGGGTGGGTTCGGTAGTGTTGTGTGTGGGTAGGTGTTGTGTGTAGGTAGGTGCGGTAATGTTGTGTGTGGGTGGATGTGGTAGTGTTGTGTATGGGTGGGTGTTGGAGTGTTGTGTGCGGGTGGGTATGGTAGTGTTGTGGGTGGGTGGGTGTGGTGGTGTTGTTTGAGGTAGTGTTGTGTATGGGTGGGTGTGGTAGTGTTGTGTGTGGGTGGGTGTGGTGGTGTTGTGGGTGGGTGGTTGTGGTAGTGTTGTGGGTGGGTGGGTGTGGTAGTGTTGTGGGTGGGTGGGTGTGGTAGTGATGTGTGTGGTTGAGTGTGGTGGTGTTGTTTGTGGTAGTGTTGAGTATGGGTGGGTGTGTTAGTGTTGTTGGTGGGTGGGTTTGGTGGTGTTGTTTGTGGTAGTGTTGTGTATGGTTGGGTGTGGTAGTGTTGTGTGTGGTGAGTGTGGTAATGTTGTGTATGAGTGGGTGTGGTGGTGTTGTGGGTGGGTGGGTGTGGTAGTGTTGTGTATGGGTGGGAGTGGTGGTGTTGTGGGTGGTGAGTGTGGTAGTGTTGTGTATGAATGGGTGTGGTGGTGTTGTGGGTGGGTGGGTGTGGTAGTGTTGTGTATGGGTGGGTGTGGTGGTGTTGTAGGTGGGTGAGTGTGGTGGTGGTGTTTGTGGTAGTGTTGTGTATGGGTGGGTGTGGTAGTGTTGTGTGTGGGTGAGTGTGGTAGTGTTGTGTATGGGTGGGTGTGGTGGTGTTGTAGGTGGGTGGGTGTGGTAATGTTGTGTATGGGTGGGTGTGGTGGTGTTGTGGGTGGTGAGTGTGGTGTTGTGTGTGTGGTAGTGTGTATGGGTGGGTGTGGTGGGTGTGGTGTGGGTGGGTGTGTGGGTGTGGGTGGGTGTGTGAGTGTGTGGTAGTGTTGTGTATGGGTGGGTGTGGTGGTGTTGTAGGTGGGTGAGTGTGGTGGTGGTGTTTGTGGTAGTGTTGTGTATGGGTGGGTGTGGTAGTGTTGTGTGTGGGTGAGTGTGGTAGTGTTGTGTATGGGTGGGTGTGGTGGTGTTGTTGGTGGGTGGGTGTGGTAATGTTGTGTATGGGTGGGTGTGGTGGTGTTGTGGGTGGTGAGTGTGGTAATGTTGTGTATGAGTGGGTGTGGTGGTGTTGTGGGTGGGTGGGTGTGGTAGAGTTGTGTATGGGTGGGTGTGGTGGTGTTGTGGGTGGGTGAGTGTGGTGGTGGTGTTTGTGGTAGTGTTGTGTATGGGTGGGTGTGGTAGTGTTGTGTGTGGGTGAGTGTGGTAGTGTTGTGTATGGGTGGGTGTGGTGGTGTTGTGGGTGGGTGAGTGTGGTGGTGGTGTTTGTGGTAGTGTTGTGTATGGGTGGGTGTGGTAGTGTTGTGTATGGGTGAGTGTGGTAGTGTTGTGTATGAGTGGGTGTGGTAGTGTTGTGTATGGGTGGGTGGGTGGGTGGGTGTTTGTGGTAGTGTGTGTGTATGGGTGGGTGTGGTATGGGTGGGTGTGGTAGTGTTGTGTGTGGGTGAGTGTGGTAGTGTTGTGTATGGGTGGGTGTGGTGGTGTTGTGGGTGGGTGTGTTGACTTACATAATTCTATGTTGAATTGTATATATTTACCAGGTTGCCAAGTATTCGTGATGTATATACACTACAGTGTGTTAGAACCTCCCACTGACATCAATATCGATACAACACAATCACAACAAACCATTGTCTATAAATTACGTAAAATTAACAACGAAATCCATTTTTATCAATTTTTTATTTGTAGCCTTTAATACTAGATTCTAACCTCAGTGGGTTTTAAGCCCATGGCTAAGTGATCACGTGTTAGTAAGACTACATAGGGAACCAAGTCATCAGTCAACCTTTTGACCTACATACGTAACTATTACTGATCACCAGTAATGACAGAAACGGTTCGGTCTGACAGCCTCATTCACAAAATAAAGTAAACTAGATACCACTTATATATTAAAGTCTAAAACCAACAAAAAAAACACCATCATTATCGGAATGGTTACTGTTTGGGGTTTAAGAATAATGGTGTTTTAAATGTTTGAAGGAGGTGAGAGGACACCCGGCCAGCACTGTCGTCACGGTCTAGATGGAAAACAGATGGTCATCTGGCTTCGCAATGACCAGACAATGTATTTAGTGGGTGATAGACTGGCCGTTACTCTTACGGTCAATTCACTTGAAGTGTCTAGCCTTAATATGTACAATTTGTTTACACATAGAGTGTGAAGATTCGCTAGGATATTGCTGGAGGTCGTTTTCATTCATTGGCAGGTTCTTACTTAGCAAAGCTCTAAACATCTATATGTATATATATATATATTTACCTGTTACAGGTATACATAAACAGTAGGTAATGCCGCTATATACTACTATATACAGGTGCGAATTAGTAGTATGGTCAGTACCTCTGTCATGAAATGTCCCTTGGAAAGTATATAAATTATAGATAGATCACTAATTTAAACCAAAATGTGTTACAAGGCCCAGCAGTGACACACATACAACATTTAGATATACATATTCATACATTGAATGTCTCCGTTACAAATGACTACCTCATCATGTGACCAAACTATGTGTATAATTTCATGTTTAATGACATGAACATCTGATGAATTTGTAAACAAAATTAGTGTCTTGTCCCTTACCTTAAAGACCTGCCTTTGTATGAGTGTACATACATTATGTAGTGAAAACAGTAATTCAATAGTTTTTATAAAGATTTCAGTCTCCATTCTCTCCTGGGGCGTGCATATTCTTAAATCTAGTTTAAATGTAGATGTTTATATTTACAGACAGAAAACTGTAGGTTTGGAGTCGATTTGTCGTGCAATACGTTACAGGAGCCTGTACATAAACTCAAATAAAGTGATAGCGATTTGAATGATTTGTATTGTTGTATCTCGTCAGGATTTCTAACATACACAGCCCAAAACTTACAAGCTTACAAGAAAGACGAGACGTTCGGCTGTGACGTTACTGAATAGTCATAGAAAGACGAAACATTTGGACCCTTGATATTTTTATTCGGAATGAATCAAATTCTTTACTAAATTGATGCAAAATTTTCAAGTTAGTTTCTGTTGTACAATTGAAATAACCAAGATATCCAGCAAGCTGGGATAATGATCGTGTTGCATATTCTCTCAGAATGGCAAGCTGTTGTAGAACGTAACATCTCGAGATATGATAGACTTTGTTCAGTAAAACATTATGCTGATAAATGAGTTTGTGTGCAATAGTTGTAAATTTTAACTTTCTGTCTACATTTTGTACTGCTCTATATATACATAACTTCATCCCATGTTTCCACTATTTGTCACTTCATAACATTTTGGAAAGTTGTTTTAGAAAAAATATGATGTACAATGCAGTTTTATTTTCATTTTCTCTATCAATAAAACCATGTTCCAAATCTAGACGTGTTATTCACGTGATTTTAGAGTAACAAATAACAAGTTGACCATGCTGTTGATATTCCGGTACTAAAACACCAAGAGAAAGCCTTATGTAATTTTCAAAGCTGAAACATTCCTTCCACTAAAAAATATTCTTTAGTTGGTTAATATCCATTGCTTGTTATAGAGAGAGCAGTCGTGTTCAGCGATGTGCTTTAGAGTATGAAAAGTCGGTCTGTTCACTTTCCGGTAGAATATTATAGCCTGTGTTTTTAATGACATAAACCCTGGTTTCTGGTTGTAAGTTTTTTTCCCATCATATGAAATTTACCTTGGTAACGACACGCACAATAGATCGATATACAACATCGACAATGTTACCAGACATGGCCAGGATATTAAGATCCCACGACTTAGAATTCAAGCCCTACAGAGCAGTGTAATAGAGTTAGGGAGAGGTGTGCGGTACAGGATTAGCATATTCTTAACTATTAACAATTCCATAAAATATCTTTACAAGGTCCAAACTTTAAATCGTTAAGTGTCATCTAGAAGTTGTCACACTGTACCACCGGAAATGTTAAATTGTAACTTCTAGTTAGTGGATCTAAACCTCTGGACGCTATCCTCGCCAGTTTTGTAATCAGCTTTCATCCATAAAGCCATGAAACTGTTAAGGTAGTAGTAACTTAAAAAACGATTTAGCAAATAATATTTATCCTCGTTACCTTCTAGATTTGTATATGATAATCTCACTGATAAATTGACTCTTGACGTGACGACTATTTGTGGAACAACATTAAAACGTTACAGATACAATCTGATAAGCTTGAAACAGGAAAATATTAATCACATCTTTTGTGATTATATTCCAATTCTTCCCAATGGCATTTATTTTCTGTGTGTGTTTGACATACCATTGTAAAAACGAATATGAAAACCTGTTTGTAAAGGACATAAAGAACTGTGTGAGATAAAACTACAGATATATGCAAGCGTTAAATATGCCTGTGACGACGATTAAAAGAGAAAGTGGTTGCCTTGTTAGCAGATGTCACGGTCTGCTGAACATTTTGTCATATATGTATATATCATGTATTCACGTTCAGTAAACAACGAGCTCTTTGTCTGGGGCCAAGGTTTGTAGGGGTTGAATGAATAAAATGTAGAACGGAGGGAGAGTATTTAAGATATAACTACGTACTGAGGAGGGAGGATATCTACGTTGTAACTACGTACTGAGGGGGGAAGATATCTAGGTTATAACTACGTACTGAGGAGGGAGGATATCTAGGTTATTGCTACGTACTGAGGAGGGAGGATATCTAGGGTATAACTACGTACTGAGGAGGGAAGATATCTAGGTTATAACTACGTACTGAGGAGTGGGATATCTAGGCTATAACTACATACTGAGGAGGGAGGATATCTAGGCTATAACTACGTACTGAGGAGGGAGGATATCTAGGTTATAACTAAGTACTGAGGAGGGAGGATATCTAGGCTATAACTACGTACTGAGGAGGGAGGATATCTAGGTTATAACTACGTACTGAGGAGGGAGGATATCTAGGTTATAACTAAGTACTGAGGAGGGAGGATATCTAGGTTATAACTACGTACTGATCGGGGAGGACATCTAGGCTATAACTACGTACTGAGGAGGGAGGATATCTACGCTATAACTACGTACTGAGGGGGAGGATATCTAGGCTATAACTACGTACTGAGGAGGGAGAATATCTACGCTATAATTACGTTCTGATCGGGGAGAATATCTAGGCTATAACTACGTACTGAGGAGGGAGAATATCTACGCTATAATTACGTACTGACCGGGGAGAATATCTAGGCTATAAATAGTTACTGACCGGGGAGAATATCTAGGCTATAAATAGTTACTGCAGTTATCTGATGCAGTTTACACATTATTCGTCAGATTTGACCTTAACATTGAATACATTTTAATCATTGTTGTGTTTTTTGGACAAAAAATGTTTGATGGTCTTTTGTAAAACGTAATCAGTTTTAGAGCCAACGCCATGTTTTTGTGGGCATACAGTATAACCTTATACAGTATTTAGACGTCTGGCACGGTTACTCGAAGGTTAACTGGGGTTAACCAATGATTAACGGAAAATTCAAATTGTTACCACGGAAAGAAAAAAATATCGTTTAATGCTAACGTTACACTGTATCCATCTGACCATTCTCAACACTGCTACAGCTGTTAAATGATAAAGAACGTTCCCATTTTTAGTAATATTTTAAAATGTTCTCTAAACACTTGTTATCTCTAACCAGACTTTAAACAGCCATATCCAGAACGCTTCATCAAAACCCTCCACGAGACAAGAAAGTTTATAGCAATTAAAAAAACTCGCTGATCTCTCATTTTACGGAACTAAACATGTAAAACTTTAACTTTTCATGATTAATGGATAAAATTTTGATTAATGGGTGAAAGGTTTGATATACAAATAAGATTTTTTTTATTTTGGTTGCAGTAACGGCCTTCACCTTTCTGCTGGTGTTTGACAAGATTTCAATGATCCGGCCGTATGAGCGAGGTTTCTACTGTGACGATCAGAGTCTAATGTACCCGATAGTAGAGGAGTCTATTGATGATGGAACAATCATCGCCATGTCGCTCCTCATCTTCCCAGCAGCCGTGAGTATGTCCTGGAGAGGTTGTTACCATAACAACCACAGTTGTTTAGTCCACTTAATGTTACTCCTGACCTTCCCAGCAGCCGTGAGTAGATCCTAGAGAGGTTGTTACCATAACAACCACAGTATTTTAGTCTACCCAATGTTTCTTCTAACCTTCCCAGCAGCCGTGAGTAGATCCTAGAGAGGTTGTTACCATAACAACCACAGTTGTTTAGTCCACTTAATGTTACTTCTAACCTTCCCAGCAGCCGTCAGTAGATCCTAGAGAGGTTGTTACCATAACAACCACAGTTGTTTTAGCCCACACCAAGTTACTTCTAACCTTCCCAGCAGCCGTCAGTAGATCCTAGAGAGGTTGTTATCATAACAACCACAGTTGTTTTAGCCTACCCAATGTTACTTCTAACCTTCCCAGCAGTCGTGAGTATGTTCTAGATAGTTTGTTACCATGACAACCACAATTGTTCAGTCCACTTAATGTTACTTCTAACCTTCCCAGCAGCCGTGAGTAGATCCTAGAGATGTTGTTACCATAACAACCACAGTTGTTTGGTCCACTTAATGTTACCAGATCCTAGAAAAATTCTCGACATAACAACCACTGTTGTGTTATTTACATAATAATACTTCTAACCCTCCCTGCAGTTGTGAGTACGTCCTTGAAAGTATGTTACCATAACAATCAAAGTATTTTAGTCTACCCAATGTTACTTCTAAACTTCTCAGAAGCCTTGAGTAGATCCTAGAGAGTTTGTTACCATAGCAATCGTAGTTTTTAAGTCTACCCAATGATATTTCTAACCTTCCCAGAAGCCTTGAGTATATCCTAGAAAGTTTGTTACCATAACAACCACAGTTTTTAAGTCTACCCAATGTTATTTCTAACATTCACAGAAGCCATGGTTATATCCTACAGACATTCTGGTATACGAATTGGAGACGTAACACTCGTTTTCTGGAAGAAATTCTTTGTTTTCTAAGCAATCTTGATTCCGTTTTGTAAATCATACTAAGAGTGCAGCTTGCATTGAATTGCATTTCTAGAGATGGTTGTTTTATTTTCTGGTAATCAGATTTAGGGTTTATCTATACGGAATATTTGTAGAAAGTGGCCTACCTCATATATATCTTTGTTAAACCAAGGTTTTTATTTGCTAAACTGATCACTTTATTGTTCGAAAGGTCCTCTCGTTCCTTAATTCGTTGGAGATTTCATATTACTATTTGAATGAGTGTTTGTTTGCACTACCTAAGCTATGAAATATTAAAAAATAAATTAATATACAAAATATTGAATAAATTGAATATCGCTGCTCTATATATAACTGCGAAAGGGTAGGTGGGTAGCCACAAATCTGGGACTGAAAACTATTGTAAAATGTTGTCTGAATGTTTTATGGTTAGCTATGATTTCTCACTCTGCATATGTTTCAGCAGTCCGATATTAGTTGATCTTTTTGAAAGTAATACAAAAGAAAATAAAGATAGCTCCAACGTTGCCATAGACCGCCACATACGGATTCCTTTGGAATAGAATCCAGTTGTAAAATGTCTCGGTTGAAGAGGTAGATGATGATGATGATGATGATGATGATCTCCATCTACATTTTAATTAAAAGTAAGATATATTTTTTTAACTTTAGGTTATCGTCGTGGAGTTATTCTACGCCTGCTATAACGGTAGTTGTTCTGACATAAGCGGGACACTTTGGGTTTATGTTAAAAACCTGTACAGAACGGTCGGGTCGTATCTGTTTGGAGGTACAGCAACCATACTTGTTGTAGAAACACTCAAGCTTTTCTTTGGTCGTCTCAGACCCAATTTCTTCGCTATGTGTCAACCCAACTTTACAGCCATCGACTGCACTCAAGGTTTCATTCGAGACTTCCACTGTAATGAGACGGACGAAGAAGTAATAGCTGATTTAAGGTAAAATAAATATTCATTTTTCAGTTGTTTCTTTTTTTTCTCAAAAAAAGGATACATTTTTCGCGCAATTGATATAAAGAATTCGACAGTTACGTCAGTCAATCGTTAAACATATCTACCTCATCAGTCATTCATACAACCATCCAGGGATTATAAAGATGTATTGAATATTATTTAATATTATTGATAAAATTATAAAAATAGTTTGGATGAGCTCATATTTCAAAGACCAATGAGTTGAATTTCAGTCGAAGGAATTTTCACTATCTGTTTTGAATACATGACCCAGTAACCTATTCAAGCTAGGAATAATGATATTCCTAAATCCTGAAGATTTTAACTTGAATTGTTTCTTGTAGCCGTCCTCGTGTGACCTCTTGTTCCGGTGTGTGTCTTTTGAATAAACAAAATATCTATATATTGATTGTCACCTAAATTATATACCCTAATGTGTTCCAGAAAGCAACATATGGCCTAAATATCAACTCTTTATTGTTTCTCAGGAAGTGAAGTTAGTTATATCATGTTGACAATCTAAAGTCAGCATAATCTTCTCTGAAGGAATGTAGGAGGAGGACAATTCTAAAATAAAACAGCCCGTAGTTTGATATTTTATTAAAAGTGTAATAAATAAAGCACACGTATTTCTGTAATCGACTGTAAAATGAAACTAACGACACAGTAATCGACAACAAAATAACACTAACGACACAGTAATCGACAGCAAAATGAAACTAACGACACAGTAATCGACAGCAAAATAACACTAACGACACAGTAATCGACAAGAAAATAACACTAACGACACAGTAATCGACAGCAAAATGAAACTAACGACACAGTAATCGACAGCAAAATGAAACTAACGACACAGTAATCGACAGCAAAATAACACTAACGACACAGTAATCGACAGAAAAATGAAACTAACGACACAGTAATCGACAGCAAAATGAAACTAACGACACAGTAATCGACAGCAAACGACACACTAATCGACAGAAAATGAAACTAACGACACAGTAATCGACAAGTAAAAGAAACTAATGACACAGTAATGGACAGCAAAATGACACTAACGACACAGTAATCGACAGAAAATGAAACTAACGACACAGTAATCGACAGCAAAATGAAACTAACGACACACTAATCGACAGAAAATGAAACTAACGACACAGTAATCGACAGAAAAATGAAACTAACGACACAGTAATCGACAGCAAAATGAAACTAACGACACAGTAATCGACAGAAAAATGAAACTAACGACACAGTAATCGACAAGAAAAATAAACTAACGACACAGTAATCGGCTGTAAAATGAAACTAACGACACAGTAATCGACTGTAAAACGAAACTAACGACACAGTTATCGACAGCAAAATGAAACTAACGACACAGTAATCGACAGCAAAATGAAACTAACGACACAGTAATCGACAGAAAAATGAAACTAACGACACAGTAATCGACAGAAAAATGAAACTAACGACACAGTAATCGACAGCAAAATGAAACTAACGACACAGAATTGACTTTATAATAAAACTAAGCACACAATTATCGGCAGTAATATGGAATAAGTTTCCAAGGATAAAGAGAAAATCCAAAAATATTATCGGTTGAGCTTCTATTAGGATGAGTTCAAGTGACTATTGTTACAGTTTTATGTTTTGTTGTTTTAGAAAATCCTTTCCATCTGGACATTCAGCTGCTGCAGCCTACGGCATGTTATTTCTAGTGGTATGTATAGCTATATACAAGTAGAAAATATTCGTTCACAAAATATGTTATGCAAACACAGTGAGATATTTGTTATATGTAACACAGTAAAACTGACAGCTGTAGCGTATTCCATTAGTTACTGAGAATAAAGAGAGATAACTCTAGGTAGATATGGACACTGACTCAGTGGTGTTGAAGAGTTACCTCCCTTATAGTAGAACGCGACAAAGAAACCCATAGTGTATTTATTAAATATAAACCATTGTTTATTTGAATAAGGGCGATCGCTTATCCATCATATTAATCCTGACATGGATTCGGAAATTTCAATTTTGTTTACACTTAATACTTATTTGTAGTTCTTTAGAACAACAAATCGCCTAATATGGCGACGACTCTTACAATGTGAACAAAAGAAAACAACTGTCTGATCTCAGATGTTGCATTTTTTACACTTTGATATCGCAGAGATAACTTTTTAATTTTCCTACTTTCCAATTTTCGATTTTCAGTCATGGCAAAAAGAAGGACATATCGGAATAACTGAAAATTTTCTTGTTGATTTCAATAATCGATATTTTACCTTGACACTCTGAAAGATGCCCGTTTGGTAACGAGATGTAACGATAGCAGTAATTCCTCGTCAAACACGGACGGTACTGTACTGTTTCTTTCTTACTTACTTTTGTAACCGTACTGATTTCAGGTGTACCTACAATTTAGACTGCTCCTAAAATGGGTTCGCCTCTTGCGCCCCTTCCTCCAGACCCTCGTCATCATACTGGGCGTTTTCATTTGTGCATCACGTCTCCAAGACTATCGTCATCATCCCGGTGACGTCATAGGCGGCGCCATTGTTGGTTCACTAGGGTGTCTTTTAACAGTAAGTCTTGATTGAAAAAAAATGATTTCTTCGGAACCATAAACATCACTGAACAGAACACGTAAGGAAGTTAGATATATTATTAGAAAACGTGATCATTTAATCTATTTTATAATTTCTTTTCTGAATTTTACAGACTTACCTGATAAAATGAAATCCAAAATTTTGTTTTGATTTTTACAGGTTATATTTCTTGCTGACAAAATGAATTATATGAACCGTGCATATCTAAGGAAGATGGAAGAACGAAATGAGAAACGCATGGAGATGGGGAAGTATATAGGAACTGACAATCTGGCGTTTAGAGATTCAGTGCTCAGCATAAACATGAGCCAACTTAGCGTGGAAAATGGACCAAATCCTCACACTGGTGCAGCTAGGCCGTAAAAAATCTCATGTTCATCAATAGCTTTTTAAAAAATTGATAATATATATATATTTTAGATTCAAATTATTATATTCTCGCTTATGATTTTGATAAACCTGGTTAGTAATTATCGCTAGCGATTTGATAAACCTGGTTAATTATTCTCGCTTGCGATTTGATAAACCTGGTTAGTAATTATCGCTAGCGATTTGATAAACCTGGTTAGTAATTATCGCTAGCGATTTGATAAACCTGGTTAATTATTCTCGTTAGCGATTTGATAAACCTGGTTAATTATTCTCGTTAGCGATTTGATAAATCTGGTTAACTATTCTCGTTAGCGATTTGATAAATCTGGTTAGTTATTCTCGTTAGCGGTTTTGATAAACCGGATTAATTAATGTTCATGTGTTATCAGACAAGACATGCCGATGTCTTAACGGCTTTCTGCCTTTACATATTTACTATCATATTTTCTATAGTGTATATGTTTAAACATTAACTTGTGATAATTACCGTAGATTTTTTTTATATCAATTGTTCAATTTTGCACTTGGTCACCAAATTGTTATTCATTATACTCCGACAGTGGTCAGAGTGTTATTTTTTATCATCAGTATATACAAAGATGAGACAGGTGAGTTCAGTATATGTTAATACGGAGACTGTAATTGACGACTTTTAACATATATTGATAGAGATAAAGAATTAGATTTTAAAACTATATCTTGTCCCTTTTCAAGAATGTGTTTGCATGTCAAGTGAATGTAAAATATGAGACGCACTTTTTAAGTTCACAGTCAAAATTAGAAAAATCATCACTATTCTATAAAGGTTATCATAATATAAAAACATGAATGACACATTTCTGCTTAATTTTGTCTGTTAACATTTTCTGATATCGTGTTATATACAGCCAATCTCTGTGAACATTTCTAATATCGCGTTATATACAGCCAATCTCTTTGAACATTGCTGATATCGTGTTACATACATTAATTTCAGATATCTTGTTATTTACAGCCAGTCTCTGTGAACATATCTAATATCGTGTTATATACAGCCAATCTCTGTTAACATTGCTAATATCGTGTTATATACAGCCAATCTCTGTGAACATTGCTGATATCGTGTTATATACAGCCAATCTCTGTGAACATTGCTGATATCGTGTTATATACAGCCAATCTCTGTGAACATTTCTGATATCGTGTTATATACAGCCAATCTCTGTGAACATTGCTGACATCGTGCTACATACAGATGATATACAGTGTCTTATGTGTTGTGACATGTATTGCCGTAAAGTAACACTATATATCTTACTACAGACCGTCCGCATTCAACCATTTACAGGAAATATACATTTTATCCAAAATATTTTCTTCGGACAAAATAGACCGATTTTTTTACTCTGCGTTGTGAAAATGCATCTGTCATCTACTAGTTAAATACGTATGCGAGTTTGTCAGACCGCCAGTCGATAAAACGTCACAATAATTCCGATTACTAAAATGTGAGTTTCATAATAATGCACTTAACTAGTCCAGTTTTCCGTTATTCTTAATACTGATTAAATCAGTTACACGTATTACATTTGTATCACCTTTTGTCCTTAATGTACTGTCAGTTATCGTAATTGTCCGTGTATCGCTTATTGTCATTATTAGTATTCTCAATGATTGCTATTATCCATGTATCGCTTATTGTCATCATTGTATTATCAATGATTGCTATTATCAATTTATCGCTTATTGTCATTATTAGTATTTTCAATGATCGCTATTTTCCATGTATCGCTTATTGTCATTACTGGTATTGTCAATGATTGCTATTATCCATGTATCGCTTATTGTCATTATTAGTATTCTCAATGATTGCTATTATCCATGTATCGCTTATTGTCATTATTGGTATTCTCAATGATTGCTATTATCCATGTATCGCTTATTGTCATCATTGTATTATCAATGATTGCTATTATCAATTTATCGCTTATTGTCATTATTAGTATTTTCAATGATCGCTATTTTCCATGTATCGCTTATTGTCATTACTGGTATTGTCAATGATTGCTATTATCCATGTATCGCTTATTGTCATTATTAGTATTCTCAATGATCGCTATTTTCCATGTATCGCTTAATGTCATTATTGGTATTGTCAATGATTGCTTTTATCCATTCATCACTTATTGTCATTAGAAGTATTCTCAATGAGCGCTATTTTCCATGTATCGCTTAATGTCATTATTGGTATTGTCAACGATTGCTTTTATCCATTCATCACTTATTGTCATTATAAGTATTCTCAATGATCGCTATTTTCCATGTATCGCTTATTGTCATCATTGGTATTGTCAATGATTGCTTTTATCCATGTATCGCTTATTGTCATTACTGGTATTGTCAATGATGGTTTTTGTCCGAGTACCACCTATTGTCTTTATTGTATTTTCAAAATTTATCATAGATGAAGTTAATTGTCGAAATTGATGTTGAATATACATGTATATATAAATCTAATGTGCATATACTTCACTGTTGAGATATATTTTAGTTTTTATATGATGTTGAAATATCTTAAATGTTCCAGTAATGACAAGAAACAGAGATGGGAGAGAGAGAGTGCGTTGTTACATTTTTATGTGACTGTAATATATTTTGATAAACAGCTATTTTATAATAAAGGTTCGATATTTTACAGAATATGGTTTTGATATGTTTTCAGCACATGGTAACAACATTGTCTGTAGATAATGTGCGATAGCGTAAAGATGTAATTTTTTAAACGCATAAAAAGATACATGTCTCTCATGGCTTTTGTATAATATGCAAGAGAAAGATTCTGACTCATATGAATCTCTTAGATATTTACCTGTGACATACTATTTGACTTTATCTTGTTTCCGTGTCTTTGTCACAGTAACAGGTCACGTGATCTAATTATTTTTATTGTATGCGACATTGAATAACGTTTCTTGTATCTTGAATCGACACACGAAGCTAATATCCCAACAAAATCATTCATAAACCTAAATAGATGATAATGAATGCCTTTTAAAGGGACTAAATGGTCAGATATTCATTTCATAACTGATAGAAAGCGTTACAACATTTAGATATCTGTTAAAAGTTGTGCACTTTCTGTTAATTATAGTATTTTAAAGTTTGCATAGCCGTTTTATTAACAACGTCCAAAAAAAAAAAAATAGAATAAAATAGGAGCGACCCAACACTATTTCATGCCATTACTGTTCGGAGAGTGTAAATAATGTCTTTGCGCATGCGATTTTAGATTAAGATTAATTCAAATTAATCTCTTTCGCTCTGTCACGTGCATAGCGTGAAGCAAGAGGTCATTTTACAGAGTAAAAATTGGAACTTGGCTGGAAAATTAAGTTTGGGCTAATTACATAATTAAACAGAATAAGAAATCATATCAAAACGGCGGGTTAAAATGAGGCCCCGAAAGGTCACGTGATGATCTCGGCTATCTCCGATCAAAACAGCCATGGGTGGTAAACACAACAGCTAGTGTCGACTACCATTAGTTTGAAGCTAATAATCTTTATCAATTTCACTCAGAGGGTTTTATAATTTTGTGAAGAGTCTTATTCTAAGTATTACAATGTTAACCCGAAATCAAACGCCTGGGGGAAAAAAGAAATCTACCCATTTAGTCCCTTTAAATGTGTAAGTTGATAAGCCAGAACGCGTTGTGTTGGAGTTGTGGTGGTATTTTATTTGTGAAGTAGCTCACCAAATATGATAAAGAACAATCATCCAAATTGACAGCACCAACTCGATATGTGGTCAAGAGAGTACACTTTTCCGTTGACCACCATCTGGTGTTGACTGTTGACTCCGTCTTCCATGGTCCGCTGTAGCGTGCCGAGGTAGCTCTTCAGCTGGGAAACGGACATGGTTTTTAGCATGTCGCCATGTTCTCGAAGAATATCCTCAAGATAGGACCGTGTCTCATTGTCGTTTTGGACATACTCTACATACCCCACGAATTCCCCCAACAGCTGAAGCGACTGTTTAATCAGATATTGTCTCTCAACATCCTCAAAACGCAATGGCAGACTAGCTCGACGTCGCCTAATGGCAGGATGTGCGGTGTCTGGGCCAGGCTCTATAGCAGGTTGTTCTCTACTCTCATTCCTCATCTGTGTCTGTATTGTAAAGTAGGACCGCAGAAACTGTGCAAACTCCTCTGAAGAACAGAAATTAATTACGGATGAATGAGTCCAATAAACATTATTTATTATGCGTCGTTTCTAAACATGGTCACATCACATCACGCGCTCTACATCCCACATCCCCGACTAGTTTTGTTAACACCTGACTACCTACTCACATTGTCAACGCAGTTTCTCATGCACGCGGCTACCCACGTGCACCGTCCAACGCGGTTTGTCAACACTGAATAAAATCCTACAAACAGCCCTAGTTATCCAGTATTTTATGTGGCAGTGATTTAAATCTCGGGTAAAACAATACACCAGCGTTTTAGCAAGGACAATTTCGTATAGAGAATCGTGTAACGGAACGTAACGCTTCTGACTCAAAATCAAGTCCTAAGTTTTGTACTCTGTGTTTCTGTTTACACAATACCCTAAAACAATCCAACTAAGCTCTACACCGTTTATCAATTAGTTACAGGCTAACTGTGTTGTATGAAACCTTTATGGGAAATTGATATCATTCAAGTTTTTATTGTTATATAAATAAATTATACTTTTAACGACATTCTAATATAAAAAGTTCGCGTTTTGTCACCAATCCACCCACGTCATGCCAACAGATATCTCCAAGGTTGCTCGGTCTGTCTTCATTTGTACGTTTGTTCCAGAACAATGGTCTCTTTCTGTCTTGTTATTGTTTGAGTTTTTTCAACGTTATTCTGTATATTGCTTGATCATTTACTTAATATATAAATATTCCGACATTTCCGATTATTTCCAGTTTCTGTATTTTTGTAGATGTTCCATGCCCGATCATTTCCAGTTTCTATATTTTTGTAGATGTTCCATGCCCGACCATTTCCAGTTTCTGTATTTTTGTAGATGTTCCATGCCCGACCATTTCCAGTTTCTATATTTTTGTAGATGTTCCATGCCCGACCATTTCCAGTTTCTATATTTTTGTAGATGTTCCATGCCCGACCATTTCCAGTTTCTATATTTTTGTAGATGTTCCATGCCCGACCATTTCCAGTTTCTGTATTTTTGTAGATGTTCCATGCCCGACCATTTCCAGTTTCTATATTTTTGTAGATGTTCCATGCCCGACCATTTCCAGTTTCTATATTTTTGTAGATGTTCCATGCCAGACCATTTCCAGTTTCTATATTTTTGTAGATGTTCCATGCCCGACCATTTCCAGTTTCTGTATTTTTGTAGATGTTCCATGCCCGACCATTTCCAGTTTCTATATTTTTGTAGATGTTCCATGCCCGACCATTTCCAGTTTCCATGCCCGACCATTTCCAGTTTCTATATTTTTGTAGATGCCCGACCATTTCCAGTTTCTATATTTTTGTAGATGTTCCAGTTTCCATGCCCGACCATTTCCAGTTTCTATATTTTTGCCCGACCATTTCCAGTTTCTATATTTTTGTAGATGTTCCATGCCCGAGTTTCATGTTGCCCGACCATTTCCAGTTTCTATATTTTTGTAGATGTTCCATGCCCGACCATTTCCAGTTTCTGTATTTTTGTAGATGTTCCATGCCCGACCATTTCCAGTTTCTATATTTTTGTAGATGTTCCTTGCCCGACCATTTCTAATATCTATATTTTTGTAGATGTTCCATGCCCGACCATTTCCAGTTTCTATATTTTTGTAGATGTTCCATGCCCGACCATTTCCAGTTTCTATATTTTTGTCGATGTTCCATGCCCGACCATTTCCAGTTTCTATATTTTTGTAGATGTTCCATTTCCAGTTTCTATATTTTTGTAGATGTTCCATGCCCGACCATTTCCAGTTTCTATATTTTTGTAGATGTTCCATGCCCGACCATTTCCAGTTTCTGTATTTTTGTAGATGTTCCATGCCCGACCATTTCCAGTTTCTATATTTTTGTAGATGTTCAGTTTCTATATTTTTGCCCATGACCATTTCCAGTTTCTGTATTTTTGTAGATGTTCCATGCCCGACCATTTCCAGTTTCTATATTTTTGTAGATGTTCCATGCCCGACCATTTCCAGTTTCTATATTTTTGTAGATGTTCCATGCCCGACCATTTCCAGTTTCTATATTTTTGTAGATGTTCCATGCCCGACCATTTCCAGATTCTATATTTTTGTCGATGTTCCATGCCCGACCATTTCCAGTTTCTGTATTTTTGTAGATGTTCCATGCCCGACCATTTCCAGTTTCCGTATTTTTGTAGATGTTCCATGCCCGACCATTTCCAGTTTCTATATTTTTGTAGATGTTCCATGCCCGACCATTTTCAGTTTCTGTATTTTTGTAGATGTTCCATGCCCGACCATTTCCAGTTTCTATATTTTTGTAGATGTTCCATGCCCGACCATTTCCAGTTTCTGTATTTTTGTAGATGTTCCATGCCCTTCCAGTTTCTGTATTTTTGTAGATGTTCCATGCCCGACCATTTCCAGTTTCTATATTTTTGTAGATGTTCCATGCCCGACCATTTCCAGTTTCTGTATTTTTGTAGATGTTCCATGCCCGACCATTTCCAGTTTCTATATTTTTGTAGATGTTCCATGCCCGACCATTTCCAGTTTCTATATTTTTGTAGATGTTCCATGCCCGACCATTTCCAGTTTCTATATTTTTGTAGATGTTCCATGCCCGACCATTTCCAGTTTCTGTATTTTTGTAGATGTTCCATGCCCGACCATTTCCAGTTTCTATATTTTTGTAGATGTTCCATGCCCGACCATTTCCAGTTTCTATTTTTGTAGATGTTATGCCCGACCATTTCCAGTTATCTGTATTTTTGTAAAATTTTTGTAGATGTTCCATGCCCGACCATTTCCAGTTTCTATATTTTTGTAGATGTTCCATGCCCGACCATTTCCAGTTTCTGTATTTTTGTAGATGTTCCATGCCCGACCATTTCCAGTTTCTGTATTTTTGTAGATGTTCCATGCCCGACCATTTCCAGTTTCTATATTTTTGTAGATGTTCCATGCCCGACCATTTCCAGTTTCTATATTTTTGTAGATGTTCCATGCCCGACCATTTCCAGTTTCTATATTTTTGTAGATGTTCCATGCCCGACCATTTCCAGTTTCTATATTTTTGTAGATGTTCCATGCCCGACCATTTCCAGTTTCTATATTTTTGTAGATGTTCCATGCCCGACCATTTCCAGTTTCTATATTTTTGTAGATGTTCCATGCCCGACCATTTCCAGTTTCTATCTTTTTGTAGATGTTCCATGCCCGACCATTTCCAGTTTCTATATTTTTGTAGATGTTCCATGCCCGACCATTTCCAGTTTCTGTATTTTTGTAGATGTTCCATGCCCGACCATTTCTAATTTCTATATTTTTGTAGATGTTCCATGCCCGACCATTTCCAGTTTCTGTATTTTTGTAGATGTTCCATGCCCGACCATTTCCAGTTTCTATATTTTTGTAGATGTTCCATGCCCGACCATTTCCAGTTTCTATATTTTTTTGTAGACCATTTCCATGTTCCATGCCCGACCATTTCCAGTTTCTATATTTTTGTAGATGTTCCATGCCCGACCATTTCCAGTTTCTATATTTTTGTAGATGTTCCATGCCCGACCATTTCCAGTTTCTATATTTTTGTAGATGTTCCATGCCCGACCATTTCCAGTTTCTATATTTTTGTAGATGTTCCATGCCCGACCATTTCCAGTTTCTATATTTTTGTAGATGTTCCATGCCCGACCATTTCCAGTTTCTGTATTTTTGTAGATGTTCCATGCCCGACCATTTCCAGTTTCTATATTTTTGTAGATGTTCCATGCCTGACCATTTCCAGTTTCTATATTTTTGTCGATGTTCCATGTCCGACCATTTCCAGTTTCTGTATTTTTGTAGATGTTCCATGCCCGACCATTTCTAATTTCTATATTTTTGTACTACTAAATGGAAGGGAAAATTCTAGTTTCAATTTTTTATATTACTGCATGCTAACAAAATGTTATACGTGTTTTACTGCATGTCCAATCAATTCTTGTTTGATGCTATTTAAGCTGTCACGTAAGCGTGTATATTTTGTTAGTAACTTTTATCTAATTATTTTTTATGGGGCCTTAATAGTCGGTACCGTTAGGCGGATATACATCACGGGTATGAACTGTACACGATATGGACGTTTATTTTAATACCGACGTATGGGTCGATTCGTGTACCCGATATGCAAATAGTTAGACGGCCACCTGCTTATATATTTTCAGAACCTCCCAATCGTTTTAATTTTATCATTAATGATACCTAATTTAACGGCCACCTGTCTAACGCGGCCAGCGGCCACCCTTTTCGCCCCCAAACTCGCGATCAAATCTATTTTAAACGGCCGTTTTGACCACAAGTCATTTGACAAGCTTTCTTGACTGCGAGTCACGTTTTCTCGCCACGTGAACATTCCTATAAAAAAAACAGCTGATGGCACGTAAACACAATTCACCATGCATTTTATATTGAGTTTGATTTCATTTACGTCACTGGTATACACAATACAGGCATATTATCACTATTGTGGCAAATCACTTCGAAATATGAGCTCAGACCAAACCACAAACTCCCAAGTACAGGAAGACAGTGACAATCCTGACAATTTACCTGTATTCAAATATCAATGTGCAAATTGGGTTCGAAAATAAGGAACCTCAATTAAGAGGCTACCTCTCTATAAAGGCCACTTTCATAATTTCCCCCACAGTGGCCGTTTGATACAGGTTAGACTGTATTGTGATTTATCATCGTTTACCACAGATTGTGGTAAATAATGTTTCTTTCTTTTCTTTACGATTTACTGGTATTCTTTAATCCGTTCCAGCTATGATATTGGGTGAAGTAATCGAAGATTCTATACGCTCCATTCATGCTTGACTATTGTATATCGTTTCCATTCATGCTTGACTATTGTTTATCGTATGATAGTTTTATCATATATATATATATACATTGTATCATGATAATTTCGTATTTCGTAGTCATCATTGGTGTATTTACAATCTATGAACATAATATATTCTTTTA